TGGAGGGAATCGACCTGAAAAATGTGGTTTTTCAAGAAGAAACCTTCGGACCTTTGGCTGCTATTGTACGAGTGAAAGATGAAAATCAAGCCGTTAGTTATGCAAATTCTCACCGCTACGGATTGGCAGCAGCCCTCTGGACGCAAGATTTGGAACATGCCTACCAAGTGGCTCAAAAAATAGAAAGCGGAAATGTTTTTGTTAATTCTATGGTTCGCTCCGATTCGAGATTGCCTTTTGGAGGAATTAAAAAATCGGGGTACGGAAGAGAGTTAGGAGAAGTAGGAATTAAAGAACTAACCAATATAAAAAGTATAGTAATTGAAAAATAAATTAATCCATTGAATGAGAAATAAAATTGTAATACCCCTCCCCAGCCCTCCCCGAAGGGGAGGGAGCTATAATGTGTAGATATTCAGTGTTTTAAAAGAATCAAAAATCATAAATCGTAAATCGTAAATCGTAAATCGTAAATCAAAAATCATATCTCTATGGCACATACCAAAACATTATTTTCTTTGATGGCATGCTACCGAGAAGCCCTAAAAGAGTATAAAAAAGAAAATCCTCAACAAGTGGAACGCTTAGTTGAAGCCTATAGCAGAAGAAAATTCATTAAACTTTCCTCTCTTGGAGTAGGGGCATTAGCTGTTGCTCCGTCGGTATGGAGCGGTTCATGGGATAAAAATCCTGAGCATTCCGTAGCCATTATCGGAGGAGGAATTGCCGGACTTACCGCTGCCTACGAATTACAAAAAAAGAATATTCCTTGCGTAATTTATGAGGCGGATAAACGTACCGGAGGACGAATTAAAACAAAAACCGATTTTGTAGCAGGGCTCACTACCGACTTCGGAGCAGAGTTTGTAGATTCTACTCATACCGATTTATTGGAGTATTTAGAAGAATTCAAAATAGAAACTTACGACATTCGTACCGATACCTTAGAAAAAGATACGTTTTTTTATCAAGGAAAATTTTACAGTCCGAAAGAAGTGGTAAAAGCCTACAAAAAAATTCTACCCAAAATTATTGACGACCAAACCAAAACCGAAGAAGATGATGCCTATTTTGAGAAAATTGACTATACTCCCTTAGATACATATTTTGAATCTTTAAATGGCGATACTTGGTTTATAAAAATTATAGAAAAATCCTATGAATCCGAATACGGAAGTAATATCAGTGAGCAATCTGCCATCAATTTTTTGAGTATGATGCTTCCCCAAGTAGGAAAAACCTTTGAAGTATTCGGGCAAAGTGATGAAGCCTTAAAAATAAAAGGAGGAAGCACCCAATTAGTAGAGGCATTAACGGAAAAAGTAAAAGATAAAATCAAACTTAACTACAAATTAACCGCCATCAAACAAAAACACGATAAATATCATCTCTTTTTTGAAAATGGAGAAGAAATAAAAGCACACTATGTATTGATGACTTTGCCTTTTACCTTACTTAGAAGCATTCCCTTGGAAATCAACGAAATGACAGAAAACAAAAAGAAGTGCATCCAAGATTTAGGTTATGGAACCAACGTAAAATTAATTCAAAAGTTTGATAAAAAAACATGGCGAGAGCAGCACTGTCAAGGTTTTTTATTTAATAATATTATCCATAACGGGTTTGATAGCAGTCAGTTTCAAAACAACAACCAAGCACCGGCTACCTATACTTTATATTTTGGAGGAGACGATGCGATGGCTCTTTGCGATAAAAGTCGCTTACCTGAATTACGAAATAAATACATCAAGTATTTAGATACCATTTATAAAGGATCGCTTCAAGCCACGGAAAATCATACCGAACCAAACCAAGGCTATACCTTAGTAGATTGGCCCAAAAACCCGTATTCTTTGTGTAGTTATTCCAGTTTTAAACCCGGACAATGGACCTTATACGGAGAAGAAGTACGTCTTCCCGTTGGAAATCTTTATTTTGCCGGCGAACAATGCTCCGATGAAAATCAAGGGTTTATGAACGGAGCCATAGAAACCGCTAAAAGTGCAGTGAAATTAATCAGTGAAAAAATAATAAAATAATAAAAAGATGGATAAAGAAGAATTTGAAGAATTAATAAAAATTGAAAAAGAAGCCACGACGGAAAATAAAAATCTTTCGTTGTGGGAAGCTCTGATACCTGTCATTGGATTAGTTGCAATGTTGGCATTTAATGTTGTAGATGTTTATAACGGGGAATCTAATCCAGATGATGACCCCTTGGGAGGATCTAATCAGTTTATTTTATTGGTGGGAGCTGCTATTGCTGTTATTATAGGGCTTTTTAATAAAGTTTCTTTTGAAAAAATGATAGATACGGTATCTACGAATATAAAACAAACCACCAGTGCAATGATTATTTTATTAATGGTAGGAGCATTAAGCGGGACGTGGTTTATCAGTGGGATTATTCCTGCCATGGTGTATTATGGTTCTCAGGTACTTTCTCCTACGATATTTTTTGTTGCGTGTGTAATCATTTGTTCGATTATTTCTTTGGCAACAGGAAGCAGTTGGTCTACCTCCGCTACGGTGGGGGTGGCATTAGTAGGAATAGGCGATGCTTTGGGTTTATCCGCAGGAATGACCGCAGGAGCGGTTATCTCGGGAGCGTATTTTGGAGATAAACTTTCTCCTATGAGCGATACTACCAATTTAGCACCGGCTATGGCGGGAACTACTTTATTTACTCATATCAGATACATGACCCTTACTACCATCCCTACGATGATACTCACTTTACTTATTTTCCTGATTATCGGTTTTACGGTTCATCCGGAGGGACAAACGGATAATTCCGTACTTTTAAATGAAATAACTTCTAACTTTACCATTACCCCTTGGCTTTTTATAGTACCCATAGTAGTTATCGGTTTGATAGTAAAAAAAGTAGAACCGATGATTGCCCTTTTTGTAGGGGTACTATTAGGAGGAATTTTTGCCGTTATTTTTCAGCCGGAAGTGGTTTTATCGATTTCAGGGATGAAAACGGCTGATTTTGCATCTACTTATAAAGGAGTGATGAATGCAATTACTTCACAAGTTGAAATCCCGGTAGATCATCCGGAGTATCAAAAATTATTTGTATCCAAAGGAATGGGAGGGATGTTGAACACTATTTGGTTAATCATTTGTGCGATGGTATTTGGAGGAGTGATGGAAGCCATCGGTGCATTAGCACGGATTACCGACTCCTTATTGCATTTATTCAAATCTACCTTTGGACTTTTTGCCAGTACCGTCGCCAGTTGTTTAACTCTTAACGTTACCGCTTCCGACCAATACCTTGCCATTGTAGTGCCCGGGAAAATGTTTGCCAATGCGTATAGAAAGAAAGATTTAGCACCTGAAAATCTTTCCAGAACTTTAGAAGACAGCGGGACGGTTACTTCGGCTTTAGTTCCATGGAATACCTGCGGAGCGTATCAATCCGGAGTATTAAATGTCCCTACGGAAGCCTATCTTCCCTATGCTTTTTTTAATCTAATCAGTCCGTTTATGACTTTGATTTTT